CTCTCATCTGCCTGGGGCTCTGCACATTTTCTGTATTTCTACATAAGCAGTTGTATTGTTTTTTATGTCTTTAAACATTATGTAATATTATTTTATGCACTGTCATCATTTTTCAAATATTGAGACTTTCATAATGTGAATTTGAACTCTCATGGTCCTGAAACTGTAATCTTATTGAAGGGGTGGATTGAGACCATCTTCTGGGTCTTCCGGAAGACAGTCAGGTTATTAAGTTTATATTGACTGGTATCTATTTTTTTCTGTTGGAGGATGGATCAACATAGATACTTTGGAATACTGTCAGAAAATATCTCTGGGTCTGCTCCTGTTATTGACCATGTTACCCGTTGTACAAGATTAAAATTTTGTGTTGACTGACAGTGCTATTATAAGCATTATTTATTATTGCATCAAAATTGACAAAATGACCTTTTTTGCATCTTTATTTTCTGTTTTTTTGTCTGTACATTTGACAGCTTTGCTGCCTTGTTCTTCAGTGTGACCGTAACTGCACAGGCCTTGCGACCTCAAAGAGACCAAGTATTTGACCAAGAAAATATTAAAGAGTATTATGAGATTAATAAGGATTAAAACGTATGCAAGTTTATGTTTTTATTACAGCACTGGTTTCGTTAGGTGAGGGTGTAGTCTTTTCAAAAGTTCACAAAACATTGTTGGTTCTATTTTTAGGAAGGAAATGAAAACTTCCTGATTTTCAAAGTCGATGTTCTTTCATCAAATGTTTGTAATCGCCTTACAAGGGGCGTCTTGTAAGCGTCCAGTATTTTCGACTTGTTTTACTCGTTTTACTTCTTAGGTAAACAAAGTCAATGATTATAGCAGTCCCGTCTTTCTGAAAAGGAGTCGTTTTACTAGAACATTTTGTGAGAGGGGAATATATGTGAAAGTAGCTACTGTCACAAGTTGGCAACATATATATTCTGTGCGACCTTGCTGCTACCAGTTGACAAGCGATTGCTACAGTCCTGCAACCGGTTTTCGGTCACCAAGTGGTTGCAGACAGGTTGTGTATCGCTCGGCAAACAGTGTGCGACTAGTTACCTATAACTTGAAGATGGTCTATTAGAGGTTGCAGATACCATACTGCAACCTTGTTGCAACCGGTTTGCGACTGCTTGCCGATCAAAATTGGCCACAGCTTCTTAATTAGCTTGCAAAGTGATCGCAAGCGACCGCCAGATTTTGAGGTTGCAAAAAGGTTGCAAAAAGGTCGCAAGCGCAGTGAGACCCGGCCTTTCCTCCTCCCTTTTTTCTGCTATTTAAGCTTCTTTCTCTTACCCTTTGGAGGCATATTAGAAACTAAATTGAGCAAAAATTTGAAAATTTTGACAACTGTTGTACACGTTATATATGTACAGTCGACGTTCATTGTTAAGACAAGAGCTTGCGTCATGAGCACGCGTTTTATACACCAGGCGTGGGGCTGACGCACGTGCGATGCATCCCAGGTGTGCTCTCTACTTTGTTCGTTAGTTGTGAGGGTGTGTGCCTTACTAAACACGCCAAGGGCACTTGCTCCTTCATTGCTTGCGACGTGCGTTTTGCACGTCTCACTTTCTAACTCCGTGAGAGGGGAGCAAAATGCAAGTTACGGTTGCCGCCTCGCTGTTCGCAGGGTGTTCGTAGAATCTTTTGAACATGTCCAACATCCACCTTACGTGCTTACGGACTGTCTGCGAACTCGATTTTTCGTAAAGCCTAGGTCCCAACTACGTTTTGGACGCACGGTTTTTAGGTTCCTGGCGTCCGACTAGGACGTAGCTAGATCGCACGTAGTGATCATGTCGAAAAGTTTCTACGTGCTGTTTGCGTCCTCCAAAAGTCGCACGATTGACGTGCTCCTCACGCACGAACTCCCATATTTTCCCCATATTTTTGGCCGTAGACCACACGTAGCCGCCCGTACGTTCGGTTGGGACCTAGGCTTAAGAAGGACCTGCGTGGGACATGAGATTATTCGTAAAATTTGGACGCAAACAGCCCGTAAGAGCCCGTACGGCCGGTTATGACCGAGGCTTTAGGCTCCGGGTGTTGAGGAGGGACGTTAAGCCTAGATTATATTTACACGGGCGCCGTGCGATGAAATTGTCTGTGCAATATTTTTACATCGTAAGGAGCTACGATACTTTACATGGCATTAAATCCGTACGATTCCGCATCATTTCGCACGGCCACCGTCTACCTCCGCTCAGACGCCGTACAAAAATAGTATCACGCGCAGTATACGTGCACCGTACGGGCATCGCATCTCAAATGTAATCTAGGCTTTAGTTACAGTTTACTGCGAAGCGTATCTTTTTTCTTCTTACTTATCTACTTTATGAGTGACTGGGGCATTTACTGTGTGATATATAAACCTATTCATTCATAAATCCCACATCTTGTGTGTTTGTGGCAGTTCTTTGTTTGAAGCAGTAAGATAAGAAATAATGGAGAGCACTGTGGGAGTCATTTATATGAAAAATGAGGACAGTCCAGGTGTTACACTGCCTGGTGTGTTGACATCCTGGATTGATCGTTAATCTTATCAAATTTAAAGCTATTGTAGACTTCTAATGCAATATTTGAGCACCATCAGCTCTCTTTGGCTCTTGGTCTGACTGAGATGACAAGTTATTGCAGTTTTGTAACATGATATAAGGCGTCTCCAGACTACAGCTAGTGGCCCCCTAAGTTAACCGTTGAAAATCAAAGCTAAACTGCATTTGCCAGTTCTTCCAACTAGGTGCGGGGATTTCTAGTGCTATCTTTGCTATCTATTTCTTACGAAGGCGCGTATTCGTATTAGTCAAAGTACATTGTTAGAAAACGATAACGGTATTATAGTCCTGCAGGAAAACGTTTTGGCGAAGAACTTATTAAGGTAAGTATATATGAAAGGGAATCATCAAAAATTCAATGATCAATTTAGTTAGATTTAATGGCAGGAGTAGTAAAAAACATTGACATCGATACCCAGTGTCAGTACAGTGGGTTAACAGCAGACACATTAAGATGTCCAGTAGTGTCAGTACACTGTGTTAACAGCAGACACATTAAAATATCCAGTAATGTCAGTACAGTGTGTTAACAGCAGACACAGTAAGATATTCAGTAGTGTTAGTACAGTGAGTTAACAGCAGACACATTAAGATATCCAGTAGTGTCAGTACAGTAATTAATATATATACCATGGCCATACCAGCATACGCGTGCATCTTTAAGACGCCCCTTAACATGCGAAAACGACATGCACCGTGTTTATTTTGTATGCTATTAATCCCTATAGCAGCGAAATTAACAAGGCCCTTGCCGCATTCGTCTTTCACTACAGAACGTTGGGCCCAAAATGACATGGCTGTGTCTGTTTCGCCACTTTCTGAACTCCATAGATGCGAGATTGACACGACTCATGACGCGTTCGCCTCTTGCTGTGGATACTTGAGCTTCAAATGGCTACGTTATAAAAAGCAATTTTGCATTTATTGGAGCCAGCAAATTACGAAATAAGCATGACTATGTCAATTTCGTGTTTTATGAGATGCAGAGTATGAGACAAATGCAGCGTGGGTCTAGTCAATTTCGCATCTATTGGCCTCAGTGAATGACGAACAATGATATATCCAGTGGTGTAGGTAGGGTTGCCTGGCAGTAGCTGGTTGTTTTCAGAAAGGTGTATTTGCTACGTGTAATTGAATGTGATAGGACAACAAGTCTGAGCATGGTGTAATCACTGCCCCTTAAAAACAGTTGCTAGTGTACTGTACATGTACCCTCTGATATCTCAGTGGTTTCTTGTATAGCCTGTTACAAAATTGAAGAATATTTAGTGATTTTGTAACAGACTATAGGTGCAACCCCTGTGCACTAAGTGTACTTGTATCTCAGCTCGATGGATTCACCCTGTTTGTTATGGTAATGTGCATCAGAAACTTTGTGTGGATGTCAGTAAGTACAATAAAGTATTTATCACGCATCCAAAGAATTTTAGTCACTTATGTTATTTTTTAATGTGATTTTTTCTTGTATTTGGGAATGTTACACTTATATTAAATGTATTTATTTCCATGTTTATTAACTGGACAGGCTGCTATTCTATCTCGTCAAACTTCCATATATGTGAGTCCTGAATTATTATCATGGTCATGTGTTAGAATTAAGTGGGGCATTGTAGGCCGCCTTGTAAAGTAGAACTGGTATTAGATAAAGATGATAAACTGTACACATGTATGTACATTGCATTCGTAATAGTTTCTGCCTTGGCGTAAATGTTGTGCACAGCAATGACGGAACCAGATCGTATAAACCGTGACAAAACCAAACAGATTCAATTCTAAGTGCCTTGCATGCAATGTGCTCAAATTGCCCTCATCGACTTTACCACACTGCAACCCCCACAAAACCCCCAAGAGGTCCTGGGTCCACCATTGACACTGTTCATATTGTTGTTTGAAAATATTTAAAATACACATTTAAACGTCTGTTTCAGCCCACTAGGCCACAATGCCAATACTTGATAACAAGACGTACCGGAAACAGCTTCGCGCATGGATTGGTGACCCGGCCTTGACCTTTGACCTCCTGTACAGCGCCTCCAGAGACGGCTGCACTGGTCAGGCTTTCCATGAGAAGTACAACAACCAGGGTCCGACTGTTTCTATTGGTCAAAACAGTGCTGGTTACGTCATAGGGGGATCCACAAGCATTGCCTGGTCATCATGCAGAAATTATGTTAATGATGACCGTGCATTTTTGTTCCAACTCATCCCAAACATGGTAAAGTTTGCTCGCAATGGAAACGGGAATGATGTTTATGACAACGGCACATATGGCCCCACGTTTGGAGGTGATTTAAACTATAATCAGACGACTTTTGATACTGTTGACAGTTATGGTTATGGGCTAGATGTGGAAGAGGTATGCAGTGTGTCTGAGCCCTGTGGAAACAATCTGTTGTTCTTTTCCAATTCATACAATAAATCTGGCGGTTATTTCAACACAAATGGCTGCAGTTACATCGGTACTAATTATGACGCCAATGGTTTCAACACCCAAACATTTACTGGAAACAGCGACTCCTATCTCGATATTGAAGTGTACGCTGTTAAACGTAAGTGCCATTATACTCGTCAACTGTATATTACACAATGTTTGGTTTCATGCAACGTTTCAGTGATCATTTTTTTCAGTTGTGATTAAATAGTTAGAGCAATTCAACGAAATTGCAAAGCTTTCTTCCTGGTTATTTGTAATGAATAAAATGATGAAACTATAATACGTGTCATTTTATTCATATTGCACGACGATGAATAATTTTACTTCTTTTCATTATTTAATCATAGTGATAGATATGATGCCTGTTTCACGGCCCCATTAATATACATAGTTTGAGAACAATGGATATTAATCTACAGGATATTTATCTCTAAGCTGTTAAATGCCAAACACCAAGTCTACAGAGCTCATATTGAAGATCCTAAGTCTCAGTCAAAAAGAGATATATTGAAGAGAGCACGCAGCAATGTGCAGCGTAAGATGGTCTTCGTTGATCCCGACAGACGAACCACATTAATCTCTAATTATTTTTACAGAGGGACATCTGGAAGATGAATTGTATGAGAAAGATAAGCCATGGCGCAAAACTGAGATTAACGACTGGAGTAATAAGGTATATGTACATGTAGCTCTTTGACGAAACTAAATATAAAAATAAAAAAAAAAATTAAAGGTACGACTTTTACAAGCTTTCATTCTTTCTAATTTTTGTAGTATACAGTGTGCTCCCTTGTCTTTATGTTAATACGATTGCTAAATTATTTTACACATTTCATAGTAACTTTTCTAATCGTTTCTTTTTTGTTTAGATTTTTGAGATTCTGATTCAGGGAACCATAGCGCGCATTCAATATTTTAAGAAAACCGGCACATTTCAAGTTATTAGAGAGCTTCGCACCTGCACGTTTAGGCGACTGACTACATTTAGCTATCCGTAACCGTAAAATGACCGACGTTTATTTTTTCGTGATTTCGCAGAAAGACCCGTTTAGCCTTTACGGATAGTCGAATTGTATAGTAGGCTGATACATGTTTCACATGCTGTAAAGCCTCGGTCACAACCGGACGCACGAATTTCAGGATCGTACGACCCCTGCGATTTTTGGGTGTTGCGGAGGCCGTAGAGGTCGTAGAGGTAGAGGAAAGTCTTCCTTCCCAGCAGACAATCGACGTTGATTCACCGTTGAATCAACGTTAATTTTGGTGGATCAACGTTGAATCAACGTAGAATAAATGTCGTTTGCCTGCTGGGTTGGGAGTCGCAAGGCCCCATGTGATGTCCTTTCAGGCAGGGACGCTAATTGCAAGGAGCGATGGTCGTGGAAATTGTATTCATTTTTTGAGTTTGTTTTGCTTCCTGTGTACGTGGCACACACTCACCACTTATGAAGGGAATGCAAAGCGCGGCGAAAGTAGTGCCCTTTTGCGTCAGTTTTGCTTCTCACTTGCCTCACACGTTTGTGGTGATGTACGGCTTTCTTCCTCCTCCCTTTTTTCCACTATGTAAGCTTCTTTCTCTTGCCTTTTGGAGGCATATTAGAAACAAAATTGAGCAAGAATTTGAAAATTTTAAAATTGCTGTACACGTTACATAGTCGATGTTCATTGTAAAGACACAAGCGTTCGTCGTGAGCACGCCTTTTATATACAGGCGTGGGGGTGACGCACGTGCGACGCATTCCCGGTGTGCTCTCGACTTTGTTCGTTATAGTTGTGAGGGCGTGCGCCTTACTCAACACGCAAAGGGCACTTGCTCCTTCATTGCTTGCGATGTGCGTCTTGCACAACGCGCGTTTCTCTTGCTAACTCCGTGCGAGGGGAGCAAGTTATGCTTGCGGCCTCGCTGTTCGCAGGCTATTCGTAGAAGCTTTTGGACATGTCCAGCATCCTCCGTACGTGCTGACGGGCTGTCTGCGAACTCGAAATTGCGTAAGAAGGCCTTGAGTGGGACGTGAGATTCTGCGCAAATTTTGGACGCAAACAGCCCGTAAGAGCCCGTGCGGCCGGTTGTGACCGAGGCTAATGCAGAGACGTTAAATTAGGTCATACACCATTGGACAGGTTAGGTAATTTTGGAATGGTCTTCCAATTTATAGAGATCCGGCTTACCCCGTTAAAAGGTATCTGTTGAGTCCCTTCAGAGGAGCAAATTTAAGTACCGAAGAAGAAGAATTCAACAGGAGAATGTCCTCTGTGCGGGAATGCGTCGAGTGGAAGTTCGGAAACTTATTGTGAAACTTTGCCTTTCTGGACTTTCGAAAGAATTAAGAAGTTCTGTTGTCTCCTGTAGCCAAGCAGTACTTGGTAGGTGGTCTTCTGGTCAACTCCCATACCTGTGTGTATGGCAATCAGATGAGTCGGTACTTTTAACTAAATCCTCCCACCTTGGAGGACTATTTAGCATGAACTGTACACGTGTACATTGTGCGTATGGAAAATTAAAGAGTAAAATGTAAAATTCATACCGCAAGCAAACATTTATTTAAATGAAATCTTGAATAAAAAACTAATGTTTTAACAAAGATTCAGCCCATGTGTATCTTGTAGGCAGCAAGAGCCTAGTATGTCAATTCAGCTTTTCTTCTTAACCAAAGACGTAACCATCTCCATCATTTGTTTGTCTTTCTCAATTTGAGCTTCTCGCTCTTTCTTTTCTAATTCAAAGCGTTCTTTCTCGAAGGCCAACTTGTCTTTCAGGTAACTGACGTAATCTGCTGGTGAATCAGTACGGCGCTTCTTAGTTGGCTGCATGTTTTCGCAATTTTCAGCTGAAAAAAAATAAGCGGGTCACCAATCAATGCAGCGTCAGTTTTTGTTACTGATATAATGAATATTAATCAATATTTGCTATTAGAGACAATTTCATGTGAAGAAAGATGTGCTGTCCTTACTTTTATTTATAATTAATGTATTCAAATACACAAAACAGGACGCCATGTGACTTTCGAAACAAGGCTTCATAAAATTTGCATTAAAAGTCAAGGAGACGCCCTGTCAACTAAAGGAGAAAATCGAGCTACTAGTAGTATCTTACTAAACGGCACTTACCTTGCGGATATCCTGCTTGTTGTGCGTCAAGTGCAAACGGCTAGTCTACAGACCACTTACAAAGGCATGTGTACTCGTAACAACTGCTCAAAAAATGATGACCTAACAGTCTTATCATACAATCAGTCACGCGTGCGGAAGGCCAGTTCTGACTGCCTTGTGGTCAGTGAAAAATGCCTTTTTTACGGGTAAAACCTATATTTCAATAGTAACAAAAAACACAGACACAAATAACAGAGACAACATGTTTCACATATATTGCAAAAAAAAAAAAAATTCCAATATGATTTTAGCAGAGAAACGATCAATTTTGAAAGGCTTGATTTCATAAAATTATGCTGATTTGTCAAACCGTTTTTCATTAACGGGTAGCAATCTTGCTGCGGATAATGTTTTCTCTAACCGTATGTGTACACGTCACTAGACAGCAAAATATGATGACCTAAACGTAGTCGTTCGCCTAAACGTACAGGTGCGAAAGCTCTCTATTGTCTTCATCTCTTCATTTTAGACTAGAGACAAACTTTTTGATGAGTTGGTGTCATTCTCCACTCCAAGCCAGGCCAAAGTCCCCGCCGCACGGCTTCTCCTGGTGGGCAGTGTGGGGGCGGGGAAATCCAGCTTCTTTAACACTGTGCGCTCTGTGTGGAAAGGCAAAGTCCACAGCCAGGTGGCGACCGGGACGGCACCCCATAGCCTCACAACCAAGGTATGTACTTGCATTATGATATACATGTATTTATCCATTGGAAAATGAAGGGAATGTTTACGAAGAGCAGGCTTCATAGGTCTTTAAAGTGCAGATAATTACATGGTTATCAAAACATCAAAATACGTTTTGAAAGAGAAAATCCAGGCACAGATTCACTTCTTTCTCTATTTATTTATTTATTTATTTATTTCTTAATGAGTGAACGTTGTTAGTAATCCAGTAGAATAAGAATGATAAATATATGAATAACTCTGAGACCTGGAGAAAAACTGGAGCAAACGTGGCATCAAAGAAGCTATGTGGGAAAGGGTGGAAAATCCAACACTGAACAAGAAGAGGCCTCAGTTTTATAACCTTTTTCACATACTAGTAATGCCCAGGGCAACGGAGACTATTCCTAGCCGCTTGACAATAGATCATTTGGCCAGTTCATCCAATTTATTTAAATTATGGAAGCTCTCAATGCTAATACAAGTTCTAGTAGTTATTTTTCTTTCTTATCGTTGTTGTTGTCGTTCTTTTTCTTTTTTTAAATTATTATTATTATTATTATTAAAGTTTCGTGTGTATGAGATCCGCGGAGGCCACCAGACGCCGGCGTTCCGCCTGTGTGACACCATGGGTCTGGAAGAGGACCAGGGACTAGATGTGGGGGACATGGCCTATCTGCTGGATGGTCACGTGCCGGACCATTTCCAGGTCAGTGACGTATTAATTAGCACCCATGGTGTTAGAGGTCAGTCCGACCTTCATTAGATATTTTAAATTGCTTTCATTTCCAGGCACACAGGGAGGAGGATGGTGTCCAAAACCCTGGTGGATATGTCAAATATTTGTTTTGCCCAGCCTAAGACAGATTAATGGATTTGCGACGTTAGGCTAACGAAAATGATTCAGCACTCAGTCGAATAAGAAATGTTCATTATGCTTAATATCGTTTTTTATTTCGGTTTAACTAAATGGTTTTATCTTAAATTCACTTTGCCTTAATGGTTTGTAGTTTCTTTGTAACTTCGTCTAACCAGAAGACTTTTACACATTTAGTCAAATGTAGACTTTAACAGAGTGCAATTAAGTTTATATACAGAAAAAAAAAATTACATTTCTCTCCAGTTTAACCCAGCTGTGCGTATCACACGTAAATCTCCTGGTTTTGTGAAGGACCCTGGTTTGGCTGAAGTCATTCACTGCGTAGCACTAGTCATAGATGGCAGCACATACAAGGTCATACCTCCCAAGGTCAAGGACAAATTGCTGGGCATTCAAACTCTGGCACGTGACAGAGGTAACGGCTATAACCAAAACTGAAAATAAATGGACTATTTTTCCTTTAATGTATAGTTACTTGCATTAAAAGTAGCAACACATATTTTGTGCGGTGGCGAAATTTTGAATACGTTTGATACTACATGCACTGTCTTTCACTTTATATGGAGTGAGCATACCGGCACATGTATATGTATATGATTGAAATTGCTTGAACATAAACTATTATTTAGGCAAGCCAAGGGGTGGAAGGGGGATGTCTCAAAGGTAATATATCTGGATCTCACCTTACTCAGCATATTTGTACCAGAAGACCCTGTACACTCTTCTGTTGGGGGCTTGTTCCTGGGAAATGCATGTGGTTTGTTGATTGATAAATTATTCAGACGTCTTGCTGACTTGAGTACAGTTCAGTGTGTACATATACTGCTTTAAAGGAAAGAATACATCATTCACTTAATTTAAACTCTTGCAGATATCCCCGTCCACGTGGTCCTGACCAAGGTGGACAAAGTATGCGAAGACGTAGCCGAAGACCCATCTGTGGTATTTCACAGTCGTGTCATTGAAAAGAAAGTGAAAGAAATCAGTGATACATTCGGTATACAGAGTAATCACATCCATCCCGTGAAGAACTACGAGTCCGAGACCTCCATTGACCCCAGAGTGGACATCCTGACACTGAACGCCCTCCGACAGATGACCGGAAGTGCCGAGGACTACATTGAGGATCAACTAGACCACATGGAGGAGACCGACACCCAAATGTCTAAGATGAATATCAAAAGATAACTGCCTGGAGTCGCGCTTACCGGTACATGTACATGTACTACAGCACCCTCTGTTGTTTGAGTTGTAGAACTAAAACGAATAAGACGAGACTTCTGCGCATAGCGCTTACTGATTTAGACATCAATCGATCCTCAAATATCCAGGTATATTATACTGGTATAACCTCAAATTGTAATTTATACAAATGACTTGTGCAAAATTTTATTCGAAGTACACATGGAAAGTGGAACAAGTGACTACATTTGTCCTTCATCCGTTCTAACGATGTCTTTTTCTACAGCATCACTTCTTCACACCAACTGATATCAGGCACTGGGTAATTGTGTTAATTCTAGTTGGTTGAGAGAGGATTCAAGAAAGACATCAATGTATTGTTTCAACGAAATAGCAGATAGTGATGCTGTGATCGGTAATGATATGCATTGTGTAGACCATTATTACAGAGAACGTCTGTATGTTCGTCTTAAACTGTGGCCCATTATTTTATTTTATTAGTAAGACAAACTATATTTGATTCACTACTAGTGATTTTCTGGGGTTAAATAGTGAAATAGTTAAATAATTAGATAATGCGATATAATAAGGTTTAAAATATCTATCAAAGCATCAGTACCTGCAATCTCACTTTACAATATTAAGCAAGATTTCTATATACGTAATAATTAGCTAAAAGTTAATAAATGAGATGGGCGCTTATTCATTGTGCTGCTAACTGAATATACAGCAATATCGCTTTAAGGGATTTATGGTCTTGAGGGTTGAGGGGGATAAAATAGCTTCTGATCACTGCCTGCTAATTCATGATTTTGTTTTTCAGTATTTGAGAGGGAATTAAGCATGCGTTTTTACTCTGTGTGGTACTTGTTGCATGTGAAGAAATGTATCTCGTCCTCGATTCTGTGCAGGTTCTTTTTTCCAGAGGGATTTTCATGTGCCTGCCTTTCTCTATTGCCAGCTCATGGCCACTTTTTCTCATTATGGCACAGTATATTTATCTGAGCTTATACGAGATATGTTCTAATTTTTTTTTTTTTTTTTTGCAAAGGTAAAACAAATAGGTAGTTGTTAATATATGTCAATACGAAAAAAAAAATCTTGTCATATTTCTGTTTTAAAGCACCTGCTTTCCCTAAAATCATTGCAATTGTTCTAGGAAATATCAAAGAATGAAATAATTTTAAAAACTTGTTTATTAAATGTTGTTCATTTTTGGTTTCTTATTCAGACCATTATACTTTCATTGAACTGATTGTTATGAGTTTATATTATAAAAAAGCAAACTAATTTTCAATTTAGAGATATGAACGTCTTTCTTGCTAAATTATGTAGCAGATCCCAGGAATGTAGTTATATTAAATAAAAACCGAATAGATGGATAACAATGCTGGCGTTTTGCCTGGTTAATATTTCAAATCGCAATTTTTCCACCAAGTTTAACGAATTTCATATAGGCTGAGAGTTAACCACAAAGGACTTTATGTATCTATTTCAATTTATTTATACATCAATTTATATACGAAGGAACCTACATGAAAGCAAGACCGCTAAATCCCGTAGTGGCCTCCCAGCCTCCACGCTCGCCATTACACGGATTAAGCCTCTCTTACAACCCGTCGTGCATGCTTAGAGATCGTGCGTCCTCGGAGTTCTTGTCAGACGTAGCGTTGTCGCAGGATGAAAATTAAATCGCAGCGGACGAAGTAGTAAGTACTTTATGAGTAGGTGTGTCGTGCTCTAAACGTGGGGCCCGCACGTGGGGTCTGTACGCCTTTTTTTGGAAGTAGGAAGAAGTAAGGAGCACGTACGGTCTGTACTTGTGTCGCACACAGTGAGTGAGATAACCTTACGTGTATTGCAAGTGAAGCGTACGTTTTCAGAAATGGTACTTACGAAGTAAGAGAAACGTGATAAGCACGGAAGTGGAACGCACGGATAATCAAAATAATATAAAAGGGAGCACCGAGTCTCTATATCATTCACTGTTTTGGCTTCCAAAATGGCACTTCCAAGAAGGATGCGCCATCGACTTCTACAGCTGCTAATGCTAAAGGAGGCCGAAGATCGTGACACAATGCTTGCAGTGGTTGCTCGGGATCGCCTGCACTTTTATCGTGCTCGGCACGTGCGTCGTCTTAGTGTGACGCACTTCACAAGTATGGTAGTAGTACTCGCCACGCACTTTGTAAGTAAGTAAGTAAGTAAGTAAGATAAACGCACGGAGGAAATGCGCTCACACCCCCTTTTTGTTAACACGTACATTGAAAGCAAGCTGAACGTACGAGTCTCTTGCGTGGTAAGTACGTCTTCGTGGTAAAATACCCCGGAATTTCTGCATGCTTTTCCTGCGTTACACGCACGCCTAGTGCACTTACTCAGTGCTTTGGTCTTGCGTGCTACGAGCGTGCTCCAGGCGTTATAGTTGTCGCAGACAGGTCGTAGCGAAAAACTGGCCGGCCAGTTTTCGCGCTGCGTCCTTTGCGTCGTGTTTGCGTCCACCAAAAAAAGTACGTTCGACGTGCGTGTATCTTACTACTTGGCCAATTTTTTGCACGCAAACCGCTCGTAGAAGCACGCACGACCGGTTGTAAGAGTAGCTTTAAACATCTGCTACGAGGACCCTGCAACCACAGCGCGTGTAGAGGCGGGGAGTATTGGGCAATACATAACTTGAGGAAGTATTTTAAGAAATAATAGGATACGCTGTCAGAGTTGTCAATATCATAAAATGAGGACAGTCGTCCGTAGCCCAGGTTTTGCACTGCCCGGTATATAAGGAGCCGGACCTGGGACATCTAGCACTTTTAACAGCGGACGCTAGCAAGATTAATCCTTAATCTCATCAAAGTCATTGCAGAACTCCGTTGCAAGGGTTTGAACACAATCGACTGTCTTTGGCACTTGGTCTGGCTGAGATGACAAGCTGGCGCCATTTTTTACCTGATGTGACCTGTTTCCAGACTGCAGCAAGTGGCATTCAAGAGAATCGATCGATACTTGTGGAATTTCCGATCTGCTGTAAAAGCAAACCGGAACTGCATTTGCTGGTTCTACGTACTAGACGCTGGGATTCTCCGTAGTGCTTTCTAGTGTTTCCGGGGAGTATTTGAAAAGGTAATGATTTGTTGATAGAAGTCCATAACGATAAGCCAACTGGAAAACAATTTCGGGAACAAACAAGTAGAATGCATGTAAGTGTACAAGAATGTTCCCCGAATTACACGGTAAGCACACGGCTGCCTGACAATCCTGCTTTCCTTCCCACCTGTCCCTTTTCTTCAAAATTTCGCCGCGAAACTGTTGAATGCTGTTAAAACCTACCCTAGGTTCTAGATTCCGGTATTGCCAGCTCGATCTTGATTTCATATATAATCCATATCAGCAATACCAGGCTCTAGCCACCACCGTGAATTCGTGGGCGTTCTTCTTCAAAATTTTGCCTGGGGTGCTTCCATATTTGGAAGTAACAAGTCTAGTACGTCACAGCTTTGTCACCCTGGGGCTCCCATATTTGGAAGTCATGTCTCGCACGTCACAGCTTTGCCCTCCTGGAGCTGCCTTTCCCGCCTTGCGCTGACGTAGGCCCTATCTCGTGCAGACGAGACAAGAAACAAAGTGGCTGACGCGGAGTTAGAAGTTTGAATTGAAAATTTCTTGCAGTCGAAGGTCAGTGCCACAATACAAGCAACATTCTGCTTTAAAAACTGATTTTGGTGTAACCATTGCGCATCCCTTATAGTGGTATCGGGCATCCAGTGTAGCTGTCAAACTTGGCACACGTCAAGCACGTGTATTCATCTTTAGAAGCAAATGTTTTTTGATAAGCAAACAATACAAAAAATATTTGATATGTCTTTTTCTTTTAGAAACATTATTTATTTTTCTCTTTACATCTTAAAAACAGTAAATAAAATTAAATAAAGCAGAATTAAATCTGTTTTACGTTTCATTTTGGTCTAATTTCTTTCAACTGCAGATTCACTGCGGAGCTTTTTGATTGACGAAAATCGTACACTGTCGTTGTTCTTCAGAGTTCACTGTTGAAGCCCGATTCACATTGACTCTAAAACTCAAGGCATTAAAACCTGGAGTACCTGCATTTCATTCCATGCCGATAATTTAAGATCTTGGCGAGCTCGCCACTTGTGGGGAACCTCCCTTTGACCATTCCGACTCCACATTACATAAAATAACCCTTTATAAGATAAACCTAAGGGTTTGTGCACAATGGGCTCACATCTTTAGATAACGCGACCTGTAATACTGCTACAGAGATTCCCAGGCTCCATGCCTTAAATTCTGCACACGGAAAATAATGAAACGACGCCATGTTGTAATTTCAATTGAATATATTTTGCTACTCTAAAATTTATATGGTACAAGCATGACCTCTCCACTTCTCTCTTCTATCCTGTCTCCACCTAGATTTAAGTTTACAGATTTTTATGCTAAACTTTATCAGTTAATCTGTCCATCACATAATTTATAAGCTGATTGGTCACTTCAGACACAAGTCCACCCCCTCATGGTGGGCACCCCCAATAACTCCATGTAATCAGGCTCTAACAGATTACTGGCTTCGAAACAAAGGACACTAAAATTTGAACTGCAAGGTGTGAAATATTATCTGAAGCTACTTATACCGGTACATCTTGGTTTCCCAAGTGTGGATTTAACAGACAAAGGCTTCCACTTATTGAATTAATACTGTGCACCTGGCATGTATTGTACACATAATTAAATAGCCCTTGTTGATATTATCACAGCCCCTCTTTTCCTCGAGAGGGCCTGGGTTCACCATTGATACTGTACATGTTACTGTTTATAAACTATTAGAATGCACATTTTAACGTCTGTTTCAGCCCACTGCGCCGCAATGCCGATACTTGATAACAGGGCGTACCAGAGAGAGCTCCGCACATGGATTGGTGACCCGGCCTTGACCTTTGACCTCCTGTACAGCGCCTCCAGAGACGGCTGCAGTGGTCAGGCTTTCCATGCGAAGTGCAACAACCAAGGTCCGACTGTTTCTATTGGTCAAAACAGCCTTGGTTACGTCATAGGGGGATACACGAGCATCACATGGACATCATGCAGACGTTATCTTAATGATGCCCGTGCATTTTTGTTCCAGCTCTTCCCAAACATGGTTAAGTTCGCTCGCAATGGGAAAGGGAATGATGTTTTTGACAACGCCACGTCCTACATTTGGTGGTTACGATCTGATCTTCTTTTCCAATTCATACAATAAGTCTGGTGGTTATTTCAACACAGATGGTTACTGTCCGATCGGTAACAGTTATAATGCCAATGGTTTCGACGTCCAAACATTTACTGGAAACAACAACGCCTATCTCGATATTGAAGTATACGCTGTAAAACGTAAGTGTCATTGTACTCATCAACTGTACTGGTATATGAGAATATGTTTATTTCATGCCAAATTCAGTGATCATTTATCAGTATTGAATGAATGATTAGATCATTGCAACAAAATTGCAAAGTTTTAAACTGAATGTTTGTAATGAATTAAAGACTGTAACTATAATACGTACCATTTTACTCACATTATACCACGATGAATACCTTAACATTTCATTATTAAAGAGATATGTTGCTTCTTGTAGGGCTCAATTAATAAATGTTTTTTAAAACAACACTGGATATGTCTGTACAGTCCATTTATCTCTAATTGTAGTTATATTTTGACAGAGGGAAATCCGGAAGATGAATTATATGGGAAAGATAAACCGTGGCGCAAAACTGACATTATCGACTGGAATAATGAGGTACATGTAGCTCTTTAACGTACGTTAAAGAAAAAAAAGAAGAATGAATGAATGCTGTGACATTGAAAAAAAGTTAACGTTTCTTGTATACAGAATCGTGGCGGCATGTACTTGATTGTACTTTAGAATCTGGAAACAACAGCAAAAAGTTAAACAAATAGTTAATTTTATGGAAATTGAACTTCGAAAGAAAACTTGCCCGTTTCGAATAAATTTGTTCATCTTTCTCTCCTGCTCAGACTAGAGACTCACTATTGGAAAAGTTGGTGTCGTTCTCCACTCCAAGCCCGGCCAAAGTTCCTGCCGCACGGCTCCTTCTGGTGGGCGGTGTGGGGGGGCGGGGAAATCCAGCTTCTTTAACACTGTGCGCTCTGTGTTTAAAGGTGAAATACGCAGCCAGGTGACGACTGGGACGGCACCCCATAGCCTCACAACCAAGGTGTGTAAATGATTATGGTATCTGTATTAGTGGGGTGTTGTACTTGGGTACGAAACACGAGCTTTTAGATAAAAGTATTTAAAAGCCATCGTAATTTATTTATTTATTTATTTATTATTATAATTATTATTTGCTTTGGTAGTATCGTGTGTATGAGATCCGAGGAGGCCACAAGACACCTGCCTTCCGTCTGTGTGACACCATGGGTCTGGAAGAGGACCAGGGACTAGATGTGTGGGACATGTCTTATCTGCTTGGTGGTCACGTGCCGGACCATTTCCAGGTCAGTGACGTATTAAGTCGTAGAGGTCCAGAGTCACATGTAAGACAGGTGTCTAACTCCCTGTCGAATATGTCAGTTATTTGTTATCACAAGCCTAAGACTGATTATTAGATGGCAACTTCTCTGATTTGGTCAAGCATTTGGTACATGTGGCTAAAAAAATGCTTCAGCATGTGTTTTTCTAAAGAATTACCTTAGACAAAAACTTATCTTTTTGAAAGTTGTGCGTAAAGCTGTGTGATTTGTTCCAGAATTAAGATGAATCTATTTGCCCATATAGTTAATTTAACATTGTAAAGTTTGTGATTTTTGTATCTTTATCAAAATATATTGTAGCTGTTTTACTTTAATGTAGTCGGTGAATTAAGTGCAATTAAGTTTATAAGTTTATATTAATTTATCTCCAGTTTAACCCGGCTGTGCGTATCACACGCGAATCTGCTGGTTTTGTGAAGGACCCTGGTTTGGCTGACGTCATCCACTGCGTAGCACTTGTCATAGATGGCAGCACATACAAGGTCATGTCTTCCAAGGTCAAGGAAAATTTGCTGGGTGTACAAACCCTGGCACGTGATAGAGGTAACGTCTGTAGTTTTGTAACCGGGATTTCAAAGTCGATCGATCAAAGTCGACCATTTTCTTTTAAGATGTTAAATTGCAGCGAAAATAGCAGGACAGATATGGCATAGTATAGTCATGGCAGTAGGAAGGGTAAATCATTAACTAACCTTGAAACTCTTGCAGATATCCCGGTCCACGTGGTCTTGACCAAGGTGGACAAGGTATGTGAGGACGAAGCTGATGACCCCTCTTTGATATTTCGCAGTCGTGCCATTGAAAAGAAAGTGAAAGAAATCAGTGACGCATTCGGCATACAGAGTATACTGGATTATAATCACGTCCAGCTCTCAGACAGATGACTGTAAGTGCCGAGGACTATATTGAGGATCGACTAGACGACAAGGAAGTTGAGACCGACACCAAAATCTCGAAGATGAATATCAGTAGTTAACTGCCAGGAGTCATGTACCACAGCCCCCTCTGTTGTTTGAGTCGTAGAACTAAAACAAAAAAGACGAGACTTCTGCGCATAGCGATTTCTGATTTAGACACACTCCTCAAATATAGGCCTTCACGTAGGATATAATGGTATAACATCAAATTAAGATTTATGCAAATTAAGAGTCTGTGCAAGATCGTGTTCGAGGTGCATATGGGAAGTAGAGCACGTAACTATATTTGCCCTCCATCCGTTCTAACTGATATCTTGTTGTACAGCTTCATTTTTTTCACACCGGTGTAACGTGTCAGAGAGTCCGCTTCCAATTCATTTGTACAGGTAAACATCGCCCTAGATTTTGACCCAATTATGTCAGGCTAACCCTAACCATTACAACTAAATGAAGGGCGGACTTTCTTTTGCACGTACCCTCAGTTTCGTTACACTGGCTGATTAAAGATATTAGCAAAATATTTTGGTTGAGAGATATTTCAAAAACATATCAATGTACACCGTACTGTTTCAACGTAGTAGCAGTTTGTGATGCTGTGGCCGAGAATGATATGTATTCTGTAGACCATTAACCAGAGAATAAATGTCTATTCGTCATAAACTGTGGCCTATTATTTCATTGTATTACTTAGACAATTGGCTTTTCAACTTAAACTGTAACCAGCTGTTTCATTTTATTATAGGGGTAGGTAGACAGTTATATTTGGTTTACTGCTAGTGATTATTGTAGATAAAAGACTTATACTGTAATCAATTTTTTTTTTCATTTCATTAAGTAGACAACTATTTGTCATAATCTGTAACCAATTATTTCATTTTATTATAGAGGTAGGTAGACTTATTTGGTTTACTGCTAGTGAACATCGTGGGTAAAAGTAGACATATTTTGTTTTGAAAGTTAAAAACAAACGTTTTGCCTTCTGTTGGCATTGGAACCAGTCACAGGAGATATTTGTTGTTTCTTTCAGAGTGTGTAATAAATGTTGAACCCAAACTAGTTGTTGATATATATCGGTACCAAACATAAAGATCGTGTGATATTGCTCAGAGAAGGATTTCATCATCTGATTTTCCTCAGATCAGGAAGGCATTACCGTTGATACTGAATTGTCCCCGTCTTTTAGATGTGGATGGCTTCTAAGACTTTCCTGTAGCTTGAAGCCAGCATGAGAAACAAGCCAGACTCAAAGTACCACATAGTCCCATCAATGAAAAAAATTTAGTTGGTAAACAGTGAACCAAGAACACAGAGCATGAAAGTCCTGGAAGCAATCCACATCTGACTGGCCGATACCTGCGAATAGGTTGGGAGGTGACGCATATCTTCTAATTATGGGCTATTCACCTGGATATTGCTTTTTTACTATCAGTTTTCCTTAAAAACTGGGTAATTATTTTAGGTTGTAACAACAAAAGAGAACATTTGAAAAAAAAATAATGCAGTTCATTTTCCGGTTTTAACATATACTATATACTTATAGGGGTTCCTATGATTTACTTTTGATGTTACACGTTGTGGTACCAGTCACTGGCGAACAATTTGTGGAATATTCATTAAATTAACACCAAGGGCCAAGGTGTAAGCAGTGACATAAACCAATTACCGAAATTCACTGTCACCATGGGCAAAAAGATATGTGCATATGTGAAATAAATAAAGCCGAGTTGTACATTCAATTGTCGACTTCATCTGAACTGTTCATGTCGTCTGGATAAGTAGAATATTATGTATATACACACATATAACTTTAATTCTTAAAACAATTATAATCAATCACGCCAATACTAGTGAGCCTTGCATACATATATATCTTATGTGCCATGTTATAGGCTACTTGGAGTTACCCTGACCCAAATCCTTGCAAGCAGAAGTATACCATCATTGAGATTAGTCAGCTAATATATACTCCACATTGACCACATCAGTGAAGGCAGTGGTGCTGTTTGGCACCGGTGAGAAAAGCGTCGTGTTTCTCAGGAGCGTGTAATATTTTAAGGTGGGTTTTTTATGGGAGGAAAGGTGTGCAGAGGACGTAAAAAGCTGTATGTAGAATATAATATTTGATTGTTTTACAACCGCTGAAATTATTTTGTAAACTAAACTGTAAACATTATAGATTTACACTTTCGTCCACAGATATCGCAATTCTTGTTCAGTTTATTTTATATACTTCTTGTCTGATAAGCGCACATGTACAGTTTTTTGTTGCTGAAGAACTTGGTGCTTAAAGTACATACTGAAGTGCTTGTTCAGATTTATTTGAAGATGTTTTTGTTTTCACCGATTTCCTTAAAGGATGTGTAGCCGTATAGATGGCACACTCCCACTGGTAACTTTCATATATGACTATAAACGTCCGTCCCGTGAGCAAAGTGCCGCTAGGCCTCGCCCTCCCTCCCCCCTTCTCCCCGTTACCCACCTGACAGTTTGGTAGGAACCAAGAGGAAATCTTTAAAATCATTTCTGTTGAAAGATAAAATAAACCCTGTGTATACGTTTATTTTTGCAACGTTATAATTAATCAGTTCATACCAGAGCCCTGCACTGAACTCGCTATCGCCCAGGCCTTTTCAAAGGTCAGCGAGTTGTTGTCCGACAACCGTAATTCCGGATTGTTTACCTGTGGTTCTGCGGGCGAAATCTCTGCGGGATGTTAACAGTTTCAAGGAAGCATAGCTAAATTATTTCTATTCTGTACGTAAACTGGGTCTGTTGGTGCTGATCTCTGTAGTTTTAACATGTTTCAATCGTTGTTTATCAGAATATCTTCTTGGTTTTAACCCCAAACACGAAGTCAATTAAGCTTCAGCTAAGAGACGTTATATTTGACGTTATTAGGGAGCATTAATATGTATATGTATTTTAGTGTTCGCAAACATCCTAAAATTCTACTTTTGAATCGATCTGCTGCTGTCGCAGTTTTTAAACGTAAATTGAATCATATGAAGAACAATACAATACACGGAGTGAGGAATACGCAAATACGGAACCAAAAAATAAGAAGAAGAAGAAGAGGAAGAAATAAATGACAATTTATAAACTGCAGTCCCTTAACTAAGTATTATACGTTGATTTTAAGTCAGTAATGAAGAAGCCTTAAAACTAATGCTAACGTGTCTATATATAAACGGCGGGGTAAACCAACAAGTAAACCACGTCACCAAGTCCATTGAGTGGTAAAACATACCTACAAAGAGAGGTTAACAGGTTTCTAATAATATATTTAATATAATGATATATTTATTTAGATTCTAAAATTCATATAAATATGTGGAATTAACAAAAATACAGTACAAACACAAATAAAATACAAAGTTAAAGTTTTAACATATATTAAAAAGTAACGGTATTAAAATGAATAAAAATCTGACCAAATTTAATGTTATTAAAAGTAAAGAGAAAATGGCCAATTATAATGATCTGTAAAAAAACTGATCAGTCATAAAACTTTTTGAAAAATAAAGGTTTTAAGGCTTTTTTAAATCGTCTGTTGGGCTTTATTACCTTAGTCCTGATGGTAAATGATTCCATTCATATCGGGGCCTCGTATTCACAAGGTTTTTTTTCTCCAAAAGATTAAACCTTGCACATTGAGTTTTTAATATTATTTGGTCCTTATTTTTTATCGTGCAATTTGTGAGTAGTGAGAAAAAAGTTCACAAAGATAATCTAGTGGAAATCCAAAAAGGCAGCATGAGCGTATATAAAAAGTTAATAAATCCGAAATGAATAAATCCGTGCATTTACAGAGAGCCAGTAAGTAAATCCGAAATGAATAAATCCGTGCATTTACAGAGAGCCAGTGAAGTTTTTGTTTTTATAATTGGTGTTAAATGATTCCCCTTTGGAGTCTAAGTAAGAAGACGAGCTGAGATGTTTCGAATGCGTTGAAGTTCTGGTTCTTTCTATGATGCAGCCATAGAGCAAGGAGTTCCAGTTCTCAAGACCCCAATTCAATCGAGTCGGGTAGAATATTGCACAGAGTACTGGTGATTCTGATATGACACATGCAGGTTTTTTAAAGCTTGGCTATCGGTTTTTCTATGGTCAAGGTGATATCGAAAAAAACGCTCTTTTTTGCGTGCATAAAAACCCGCTTTACCATTATTTAATTTTAACTTAGCTTTTACCATCCAGCGTATTTGTTATTTTGATTATTGCACCATCAGGCTTATGGTTATAACAGTAAATGTATAACGGAGTGGCATCAGGATTTATGTAAAAACCAGTGTGACACCCAAGGACAGGGTGTAAATGTAAAATTTAAGTGGGCCAAAACACTGTCCTGTGGAACACCAAAGACGAGTTGTTATACAGGAAGGTCAGAGCTCGAGTACACCTAGTATATCTATTGTTTTCTTCCAATGAGAAAGGGCCATAGAAGAGCGAAAGTCTTGTCCTTAATTTCAGCTGAATCCTCAAAAAAAATGACAGAAGGACGGAGTGATCAATATAGTGTCAAATGCTGCAGTACAAGCAGGACTACAGAGTCTGTGTCAATAACGGTCAAAATGTCCTTTTTCATTCTCAGAAAATAAGATCAGTGTTATATATAAATATCGGTTAATCGTTCCGTTTCAGATGCTTAAAAAAGCACCTTTCATAGCTTTCACTGGCCTATAATGTTCAAAGTTATTATGATCCAGTTTGTTCCTTTTTAAGAAGAGGTCTATTTACTGCAGTTTTGGATGAAGCCGAAACTATTCCGTACCTAAAACATATATTTACCAATTCATTGATGGGATTGAAGACAGATGGTAACATCTGATCAGAGCTAAGTGGTCTACATCTCCTGATCAGGACATAGAACCAGGCACATTTCTGGAGCAGACCTGCATCACATTAGATATCACGTATAATCCAGTTATTGCCAGTACAGACCTAGATTGACCTACCAAATAAGTCAAGGCTAGTACATAAATTATCCATAGTTTGACCTGCCATTTAGGTGCGTTTTTTATAAGCTAAATGTGAATATTAGGGAGGCACTAGTATGAAACAGATTTTTTTCAATCATTGAGGTTTTCAAAAAATCCAAAATATATATTGTAAAAACATTTCTGCATGATAAAATGTTCTGATTGACGAAAGAATCATTGTGTACTGACAGTGAGATCAGGTTGTAAGGAGGTGTGAGTGGGAAATTTTGTAAACAACCCTCTATATTGACTAGTACATGGACTGCGTTTTAGTTATTGCAGAGTGAATATGCCCTCGTAAAAGCCAGAGGAATGCAATGGTTTGGTGAACTGCCCTGCCACTCTAGGTGATGTCAAATACAGCTATATATATATCAGTGCGACCTGAGGTCATGCAGGACCACCTGGTTCAGATGATGACATGTTATTAAGTAGGCATGCACATTGTCTGGTTTTCTTGTTGTTGGTTTTCCTGGTTTCCACTTCTTTTAACACCAGGTAACGCATCATGCACTTGTATAGCCTTCAAAGTACTAGTATAACTGAGTGACGTTGGTTACACGTAGGTGGAGATCTTTCTCCGATATTGTCAAGAACCCAGAGTTCAGCCAAAACAGCACCTTTATGGCCGGAGTTGTAATCTGAAACGACGCAACTGCCCTGGGCAGAGTTGATATTATTTTTTGCGCTACTTGCAAAGGAGGGTGTGAAATTATTTGCAAATGGGTGCTACTTGTTTAGAAGGGGATGCCGTTTCACTGCTTGGCATTCGCGATATTTGACGTAGATACGTCAAAGTTCATGTTCACACGTTGCTTCCCTAATTACTTTACATTACCAGTATGATGTACATGTTTATGTGTCCGTTAACCTGTACATAAATACTAATATTTCATAATTCATACGTGTTGTTTTAGGCTATTAAATAATGAATCGTACAACATGCAATTGTGTCATTTTGTATGATATCTGGTTATTTATGTTTAAATGTTGCATTTTCCAGTGAGAGGTCATCGACGCCCAGTGCAAAATTTGAACATACAATGTAGCTGACTGATTGGAGTACCAAAAGCTGTTGGTTATGACACGTTTTCGGCGATAATTTCGTTTGGTTTCCTTTCATTTGATTGATCAATTTTACTTGTTAATGCTACTGATGGAATGCAATTTGATTTATTTATCATCTTTGTAATTGTTCCAGTGACACATATGCCGAGTGCCTTCAAATGCAAGTGAATGGGTGACCCAAAAACGGACATGACGTCAGACAAAATGGAGACAGACGAGGCAGACAATAGTTCACATGGACAAGGGTCGAGGGAAACAGAAAACGCAAGTATTAATTGTAACATCTGAAATAATTTACAGCATTACCATCATCTGATATCGTTGTAGTCTGGTATGTGTCCTTAACTCTGATTGGTCAATTCTGACGTTGATGCATCGGTCAGTATTACTAGTATGATAGGTAATGGCGCCACCTGCCAATTACTTCTTACCAGACAGCAAAATCACAAAACAATACAAAACAATAACATATACTATTTGCTTATCACACGATAAAAACATGGTGTCTCGAATATTTATCCCTTCTAAAAGATAAAGCTGATACGGAGTTGGAATAGAGAAGCTTTGGACGGTAGTCAATGTATCGATCTCGGAAAGGACATACCTGAAGGGGGATTTACAGTGCAACCTCCTCACCATATAATATGTTACCCTGAAGCACGATATGAAGAATAAGATTAGTAAACTGCCCAGTTAGCAGTCTACACGTGTTTTTGAAATCTGAAGGGAGTTCAGATGGCTTCAGATAGCTGAGGCTTCAAATCTGTCGTCGTCATATCTAATGTATACGCTATATAATAATATACCAAGTTAAAACTAAAAAATATCCATATTTCAGTGCAATCCACCTGTTGTCTCCGACCACGTCACCGACCACGTGACCGACCACGCCTCTCCTTATTGTCGTTGCTGCGTGAGAAAACGACCCTTCAGATTAAGGGTATTCATCAGAAAGTATTTTTGGGAAGGTGAATTTTTTGTCCAAGTTATTTCTTGAAATAGTAGTGTATTGTTGTATTAAGAAAACACGAAGAATGGTACTGTAAAGTGACATATCAGTCATCCTCGGTCTAAAAAACAATATGATAAAAGAGCGCAAAGACGAACGGAGAGAATTAATCTTCCCCCATCAAGTACAGTAGGTGCCTATATGCAAACACGGTCTTACAGATAAGTAGATTTTGTATTTAAATTATCCCTACTTATGACATCCAGTTGACACATTAAGACCTGCTACCTGTACTTTGTGTCGGTGTCCTTCAGGCCAACAGCTGCTGCCGACCCAGGAAGACGCTCTGAGGAGTCTCCCAGAAGACGCTAAGTGGTACAAGAAGGTAATGGTACGCTACAGACGCGTTGTGGCAGTCGTTATGCCCTCCGTCATTGTCCTCTCTGCTTGGCTGGCCGTCATGGTGGCTCACAATCACTGGAACTTGTTTCCTGAGAAATACTTCATGACGATAACAATGGTGTTTGGGTCTTTGGTAGCAGGTTTGTGCAACTAAAATAACCTTATATTCTCCTCGGCGAATAGACGTACTTTATTTTCTTTCTGGGATGAAGTTCAATGTAAATATAAATTAAATATAACCATTATTTAAGCCACACAAAACTATCACTTAAGGTCATGGAACTGCTTGGCAGCCTATATGACCGTATAAAAATTTAACTTCAAGGACAAGTTCAATTTCAGAAGCAAGTCTAACGATCACACCATTTTATATATTTTACTGATCACACATTTTACGGAAATCATATCTCCTATCATATGACATCAGTTCATAAAATATTTCAGGAATGACTAGTGAGGGAGGGGGCGCCGTAGCGTTTCCAGTGATGACCTTAGCGTTCGGTATTCCTCCATCAGTGGCCAGGGATTTCTCCGTGGCCATCCAGTCCGTGGGAATGACGGCGGCGGCCTTCACATTAATTTACATGCAAATCCAACTGGAATGGCATTCAATTTTCTTGGGAACTTTTGGGGGAATCATTGGAGTTGTTTTTGGCTTTGAGATTGTCGACCCTGCCTTGACCTCCGCGCAGAAGAAGTTAAGTTTTGTATGTATCTGGTTTACATTTGCTTTCGCCTTGTTTGGGCTGAATATTTATCACAAAAGACGCACCTTCCCTAAAATACCCAACTTTAACTGGTGGAAGGGAATAGTTCTGGTTCTCACTGGTTTCTTCGGTGGTATATTTACGTCATTTGCCGGTAGTGGGTTAGATATATGCAGTTTTTCTGTTCTTACGCTTCTGTTTCGCGTCAGCGAGAAAATTGCCACACCCACTTCCATCGTGCTGATGGCGGGAAACACTTCGGTTGGGCTCTTCTGGCGGCATGTCATAATGGGCCACGTGGACGGAGAGTGCTGGCAGTATGTCGCTGTTTGTGTTCCAGTTGTCATCTTTGGGGCTCCTCTTGGCTCTGTCATCGGCAGCCATTTCCATCGCTTAGTTCTTGCGGGCCTCATATACGTACTGGACACCGTTGCTTTAGTTGCAGCGTTCGCCATCGTCCGGCCTTTAAGCACCGAATTGGTTCTCATGTCTGCTGGGATAATCATGTTTGGCGCCGTTTTCTTTTTCTGCTTAACGCGAGCGGGAACACGATTTCTGCGGAGCATCGAAGACGCTGAAAAGAAAGCCGCCGAGGTCGGTGATTTGACTGAGTTGGACAAAACTATCAATGACAAAAACAAAGATACAGAGCCAAACACAACTAGAATGCAGCTCCATGAAAATATAACAGAGATCTAACATACAAGCAGGCGGTGATGGAGGACAGATATAGGAATCCACTTTCATAAAATTGGCAATTATAAGCAAGGGAAATTTGAAACTTTTTTAAAAATTTCCCTTTGTTAGAGCAAATAAGCTACAACTATTGGATTAAAAAAGCTAAACGCATAGTCACATGTACCGTTCCCTGATAACTACCAATTGACTACGCGAATGATTCTTAAGACTGTAATGTGACAGAGGAACCACGCTGAGTGACTTGTGTCTTGTAGAACTTGGTCCAAGGAGCCTGCTGGGTCCGGGTAGAGGATACAGTTAGCTAGTGTATCAACTAGTGTGCTCAGTAAAGGAAGGGTACATCAGACAAACCGTTTATGCATTGTTACACCTTATGTAGAGATTGAAACTTTTACGTACACGAATACTCTGCAGATATAGCCAACAGAGATACCGATAGATATGTGCAAAGTGACAAAGCCGAGCGCGTGGAAGGGGTAGCAAATGTCAGTTACAAAATCTAACTCCATGCTCAGCATAGGTAACATAACAGCATGTACATTAATTGACGCTAAACAGCATTCATGAACGAATTGTAGCAGTCAGATTTTATATGCCATCTCATGACCTTGTGCAAAAAGGTCTCTTGACAAGGGTTCTTTATGAAAATTGTATGTGTGTGCGGGAGCGTACAAACTGTAGTACATGTTCGGTGTGGTTGTCTGCTCATAGCTGGCGTGGGAGAGATTTTTATTAAATTGGATTTCGGAACAGTCACGTTTTTCAGCAAGAAAATATACTTATGATGTGTAAATATGCTTCTTTTCTCTATTTTGATTGCTTAACTTGCTGATATTGTGAAAGAGAAAATATTTATTTCGTGTGTTTCTGCTAACATTTCAGAATAAAATATATATCTATAAAAAAGAATATCTATCTATGTAAAGATAAAGTATTTATTTTAATTTCGTGTTTCTGCTATTTTAATAAAATTCAAAATAAAATGTCTATCTCTAAAATAAATTCAAATAAAATATCTATCTACGTAGTTGAGGCATGTATGCCGTTGTCTGTCTGAATCACCTTACGTAATCCGCCATCAAATCGCACCACTGATCACAGTGCCCTCTGTATGTATACTGTTACGACAATAAATAAAGACCCCCTGTGAGATTTGAGGTAGTCAAGTCGACAATGTCACGTCTTGTCTGAGATGTTTAACGCAGTCTGCCAGCACGGTTAGCCAAGACGCTTTAGTCGATGAATGGGCTGTAAACTAAAACAGAATGTCAGATTTCGGTTTAACTATGCTTTTTTATTTTTTGTTTAACATTTATTTATTTATTGTTATATTTTTGCTTGTTTTGGAGATGTGATTAATGTGATTAAATGGGCGATAAAAAGGTGTTGATAGCTGTTCGGGTGAGGGGGTTTGTTTGAAAACAATACTACAATTTTCACTCCAAAGAACGTTGCTGTTATCTCATCAACTCGGAACAGCAAATTCGTTTCGGTAAAAATATATCGTCTCTAAATATATGCCTACAAAGCCAACTCCGTTATCATTGACTTTGTAACGTCTTGTCTGAGACACCAAACGCATTCTGCTGTCAAACAGTCTCAGTATTAGGTATGTCATTTCTATTCTGAGACAACTAACACAATCTGTTATTAAGTAGTCTCAACATCAGGTATGTCACTTATATTCTGAGACAACTAACACAATCTGTTATTAAGCAGTCTCAGCATTAGGTATGTAACTTATATTCTGAGACAACTAACATAATCTGTTATAATGCAGTCTCAGCATCAGGTATGTCATTTCATGTCTGCGACACGGCCGGGCGTCTTATGAGATAGAACGGAAGACAGAGCGTCGCACAGGCTATTCCACATAAAGTTAGACTGAACTGAAAATAATGAAAATGAAGATTTTCAACACATGTAGATAAGATTCATAGCACAGCGGTATCTGACCACCATCATCCACTGTGAAAGCTATTCATGCACGAAGAAGATCTCTGAGCAGAATATGGTAGTTATAAATATGGAGCAATCTAGCACAGCGATAAAATAAAACAATATTAATGATATGAGCAAAAATGTTCATTAGCTTGGTAGTTGATAAACATGAAAATTCCCAGACACAAGCCTAAAATTGTCCGTACCGTTAGCTTACGGCCAACCTGGTCGAAGGCTTTCATCAGGCTGACGTGAGTAGTTGTTCACACTCACTGACCGCTAGGTGGTATAGCGGCCAGGACCCTCTTATAAATATCAGGTAGATCAACCCCCCCCCCCCCCCCCCCATTAGTTAGATTTACCTACTAATGGGTTTAAGATTTTAGGCTTGTTTCTGGGAATTTTCATGTATATTAATGATGTTTCTAAATACACAGAGGTACCCAATTTTCCCGTTTTAATTTGTCACTTATGTAGTATTTCCCTCTGTCTGATATCTAGGGTACGCACTCTGATTAGTTAACATATATAGATCGCTTTATAGAAGATGCGCATTATGCTAGTTATGTAGATTATAAAAATAACCTATTTTGAGAAATGACTGAAAACAATCCTATGCCGTACTTACATAAAGTGGGTCACTATTGAGCCCATTCTTCAGCCAGGAGAACATGATGTACTGTACAGCAGTGACCGCCGTCATTATGGCCCGCTGAGTACTAAATACTTTCCCAAAATGTTCGTGTGGAAAACTGAAAAATATATTATTCAATTGTGAGACGTGTCTTTGCTGCGTAATATAAAAGTAAATGACTGCACTGTGCTGCTACATTCGATTTTATATAAGCTTTGTACTAGTATAGAATTTAGTAAGCCCCGTTCTTATGAGATATCTACGGATGTCTCTCTCAACAGCACATAAACAAAAACAACAAGAATTAATAATAATAATAATAAAAACAATAATAATAATATATTATTATTTTTATTTTTATTGTTGTTGCTGTTGTTATTATTATTATTATTATTATTATTATTATTATTATTATTATTATTGCTATTATTATTATTATTATTATTATTATTATTATTATTATATCTTGAAATTGCATATCTAGCGCAACTACCCGTTATAATCAAGGTTAACAGAGAATTAAATCCAGCTCTAAAAGCAGTAACATAACCTCAGTGATGAAACACCCCTGTGACTGACTATAGAGTTACAAGGTGACCAACGAGCCAGAAACTTAACTTGGATGTTTTATTGGAAGTAAACTGACTGATAATACATAACAATCAATATACATATAGCAACATGATACATGTACAGTCAAGCAATAGGGAAGTATACTTACGCAAACACAAGGAACGCGAGGTGCACCCCGTACGTGAATGTCCGCAGTACACAGTGAAGAAGCATGGCCACGTAGTGGACCTCCAATACCGGCACTGCGCATGTCACCCACAGCAGCAGTCCCGACGTACACGTGACTAGAAATGGACCAATGAACGTCTTTGGTTCAGCTGAAAGGGACATACATGTTAGGGGTGCATCCAGGATTATTTCAAGAGGGGGTCCGATTTTTCAGGATTGACAGGCCTCGGATGCAAAGTCGACCCTAGGTCCACTTTGGGGTGTTTTGGGAGGGCAAACAGTGCCATTTGGAACGGTTAAGAATTATAAATCAGCTGGTCAAAATTTTAATTCCAAGAGGGGAATATCAGTATGATTTTTTCAGAAACCGAAGGGGGGGGGGGGGGGCTAGGATCCCGCTGGCCCACCTCTGAATCCGCCACTGCATGTACCATTAAACCAAAACACGTGTGACTTCAATACTTGACTCGTACAGCAGGTTTTGCATGAGTTGTGTTTATCTCCTGTTCATATTGTACACAGGCTGCATTATCCTAAAATTATGCAGATGTCCATCCATGCAAAGATTTGCTCAGTCAGAGAAAGAGGCAGAGAGAGAGTGAAATGAAGAGAGAGAGAGAGAGAGAGAGAGAGAGAGAGAGAGAGAGAGAGGGGATGAAGAGAGAAAGAGAGATGGAGAGGGAGAAGAAAAAAACGGAGACCGTGTATTCTGTCCTCGCCACTGTGCAGTCTGTTGACCAAATGGCCGGCAAATATGGCCAGAGGCATGCTGATACCAAGCTGTAGATAACCAAAGACATTGGTGTAATGGCTGACTGAAATGTAGAAAAATGATAATCTGCTTCTAATTGAACAAAATATTGTTTAAGGCAATACATTTGATACACATTAAAAAACGTAGCCCTGGCCCCCGTTTCACAAAGAATCTTAAATCCGTAGACGTCTTACTCGAGCTGGGTGTCCTAGCTAGGTCGACTTAGCTGAAGTCGACTAGGAGTGTTTCACAAAGAATCTAACGTCTTAGCTTGGCGTGCTTACCGTAGTCGACGCGCACGAGAAACTCTTCAAGAAAAGGAGGTGTAAAATTGCAAAAGTTTCACAAGACATGACGTTTCATGGCCGCTTTCGGCCGAGAACGATCGTTTATCAACAATAAAAGTCAGCCAAAACACAAACAAAGTTTGTTTTTGAACTTTATTGATAAGTTTAACTCCAATACAACTTCAAAGTAACAGTTAAACATTAGCTTGTCGTGGAACACTACTGAGGGACGTCTAGCGGTCAAAAACATAAACAAACACGCGATCGGCTGGGTAAAGTGGAATTTTATTTTTTATTTTAATATTCCATAAATTTCAGTGCTATTCAAGGATATTATAACACAATATCTTGAAGGAGGTATGTTCTTTCCAAATTTTTGTTGTTTATGCTCTCATTTACCGAGTTTTAGTTGAGCTTGCCGACTTAAGTCTCCTCCCGAGGAGGCTTGACATCGTCGACTTACAGCTAAGAAAAAAACGACGTAAGCAACCTTTTAGATTCTTTGTGAAACGGGACTTAATGACGTAACGACTTAATTACGTTGGTTACCAAGCCCTAAGTCAGGGAAACCGACTTAAGTTTTTTTGTGAAACGGGGGCCTGAGGCATGCATGACGCCATTGGGGTAACAATTTACTTACCGGTGTCATGTATCAGAAAGTCCCCCATGACAGAGAGTCCGCCATGACAGAGAGTCCGCTTCCTATTTATTTGTACAGATGAGCCTGGCTCTAGATTCTGACCTACTTAGGTCAAATTAACCCTAGCCATTATAACTATATGGAGGGCGGACTTTCTGTCACACGGACCCTCAGTTTCGTGACACCGGCATTGCTTTGATTAATCGAAACATGACTTCGCGACTGACAGGTGTGCTGCAGCGTTATGTTCTTGTGAATAAACGTAAATATAACTGAAGTCCAGACATGAAAGCAGCCAGGAAACAACTATTAATAAGTCAATTTTTTTTCAGTCCAAATAAAAAAATAAAACAGATGTGTTGAAACTACTCTTTGAACGTATGCATGTATCAGCATATCGATAATAGGCCTATATGTAGCTATAGAAAGCGTTCGTTTCTATTTTAGTGGTCTTAATTGAAGTAGGTAAAGATATATATGTACTTACTTGCATTAACATTCCCGTATGATCTGAAGTCTATCATGGCATTAAAGCTGCCGAAATATGAAACAATCAAGAAGGAATTTCCGCAAAACCAAAGCTGTGTCATCCAAAACATGGCGCTCTTCAACACGACACTGAATGGCAGGCGTTTTTCATTTTTGGTGCCAGAATCCTGGCCCGCCTTGGAAACAGATGAGCCGACCATTTCTGTGGAAGGCCTCGCTTGGCCGGTTATACAGGCAATATCTACTCTTCCGCTTTCAAGGGCTGTTTGTCCACTTATCTCGGCGTTTTTCTTCGATGTGCCACAGTTTGAAAAGTGTGATGTGTCACCACGTGGGAAACTTGTCAAAATTCCACCTGGGTCGTCTGTGATTTCTGGATCAACTTCTACAGCAGGGTTATCCCAAAAGCCAGCATCTTCTCTGTTCTTAGTATCCATTAATGTGATAGAAATTGGACGGATTCATCGAAAAGAAAAGTTGGACATATGTTCAATTATATTAGGTTAAATTGTTTAATTTTAATTAATCGGTGATGGTATCATTTGCATAATTGTAAGTTTAACTGAACATTTCAAAATGATTAAGCAGTACTGTTATACATACTTTTGTGCCACTTGAAGATTCGGCAGATACCTCGGAGTCCACTGGAGAAATGACGTAGATCGTCTCACTGCAGGACACCAGGCGGCTGTCAGAGCATTTGATGTCACTGGCATCCGGTTGTCTGTCCTTGTCATTGTCTGACATTGACTCACGAGGTGGCAGCACAATGGTGGTGGCGGTGGCAATGACAAGTGTTCCACACCCCATGGCAATCAAAGACAGACGGTACGGTATCCCGGCGTCATACGCCAACTGGAGATGGGCACAAAAAAGAAATTGTCCATGAGTGGATTAGCTGTTTACAGGTCTGCATCTTTGTTGTCGAAATGTTGTGCATTTCGAAGAGACACTATTTTTATTCAAATCTTATGTAAAACTCTGGGAAATCGTTGCAATTTACCTTGACCAACACAAAGCTGAAGTTGCTCATGTCGGCTGCACCAGAGACAAGAGTGGCAATAAAGGATTTCTTAGCAGGGAATAAAGACGTTAGCTGCATGTCTGTAGTCATTAGCATCCCACCCCCCAGGAAATGGAGGGTTGCACCCGGATACAGGAGCCATTCCAGTCCTAAAACACACAAAGAATAATGTTCACGTTAGCAATTTGAAAAAAATTATCCACAGTTTGCCAAATTAGTTTTAGTGTTTATCATTAAATGGTTTTCTACATGTATAGAGGGCGAACATAGCAGACAATGATGAAGGATTAAGAGAAGCACTACCAAATGTAAATATCATTAAGGAAGTCCCAAAGTGAACCTGGCAAAGCAACGGCTACCTTAATTTTGTGTGTGTTATATGTCTATGATTTATTTCTATACCCTGTGTGGACTACATATTCACATACACATGTGTTTACATATTTTAATATTTTTTAAAGTTTAAAGTTTAAAAACAGAATCAGCGATATAACATAGTTACCTGGTTCAGAAAAGGCAATGAGGAAGCATCCACCAACGTTGAAAAGTCTGCAAAGATAAAGATGTTGTAAACCTTAAGAAAAAAGAATTCAGGATTATCACGTTCCGGTAATGTAAACACTGTGGTTTATGCCAGAAAATGCAAATGACGGTGGTTTGTTATAATTTGATTTAGCTTTAATTGAAAACTGATGTATAAAATAAAAATATAATAAATAAACTCTAACGCATGTTGCTGCTGGTGCTGCACTCTGTCGGTTCATTAACGAAAACGAGTGTCAGCATCTTAACTTGCTAAGCGTTACACAGTATCATACCCTGAACAAATTTTGAGTGGTGATGCAATGCTTTTCAACCCCGCTTAGAATCGTTACTATCACATCGCGTACTAGGCAAGAGCGGTGTCGCGTCTGATACTGTGTAATGCGATCTGACACACACCTAGAAAACGGGTAGTGTGGTCTGATCTACCGGTGAATTCAGGATCATTCGGTGCCCAGTCTGGTAGTTGGGTAGGCCTGAAATAGAGACTGCACTCACACGATCCCTGACGTCCGCTAATTCAATTTCGCCCTGGGCCCCGTAACTCGAAAGCAACGCGTATTGCGAATAGCGATATCACATAGAAGCTACAGTGTATTATATGGGGCAAGTATGGGCGAGTTATGGAATCGAGACGCTTGCGCTCGGTCGCAATGCGCGATGTTTTAGAGTTACGGGGCCCTGATCTCTAATAACATACCCAAGTCCACTCTTTGGCGAAAGTAACAGAGACCAAGGTTAGAGGAATAAACTTGTAGCACTTCTCAAGGGGTGAGCTAACACTGTACGAATTATATTTTGTAAGGGCCCATACAGCAGATTCTATTATTATGCAACGTTTTCACTGTATCTATTTCGCTCCATCCAAACACTATTCAGCCACTGTCGTTTTCCCCTGTACGCTTCAAGCATCTCTTTTACGCCATTTCTTTGTGGTGACAATGGGTGCTCCACTTACTAGAGCCAAAGACGAGTACACAATGCGAGACTCGATATAGTGAGACGATCCATCAACTATTAACCCACTATTTATACATATCGTATTTCTTATTTAAATTCAAGTCATATTCCCAAAGAAGACTGCAACTTTATCTTGATTTAAAGAGCAGCATTTAAATAGTCCAATAACATTAGTTGTTTTCCTCTTGAAGAAGGATTTATTGATACAGAATACAAAGTTTTTTATATAAATCAGGGACAGTATGTCATCTAAAATGCTTTATTGTGTATTTCTGGTCTCTAGTGTTGAGAAACTTTCATTCTGACTCCTGGTACGTTTCTGTACACATTCTTAATATTAACATCTCAACTTACATGGACAATACTCGGGTGCGGATCACACCATAATGGTCGTAGAAATAACCCAGAGCAGGCAGCACAACCTGTAACGATATAGCCACAGTGTAGACCAGGTTTAGACCCTGCTCCTGTTCCGGACAGCCAGGGCTACCCTGATGCCCACTATCCCCAGAGACTGACCAGTTGGCGTCCGTTGTCAAGTTAGCTCCGCAGAGGTCGATGTGGAAGCCTGCGTCCCTGAAGATATAGACAAGTGAGGGCCAACCCGTGACACTGACAGTGTACAAACCTGTCTCCAGCAGACCCAGGGTGACAGCGAACACTTTAAGTACTGGAGAGTATGTCAGCTTTGGCATTGTCCAAAATGACCACTAATGTACCAGTGATACACAGAACGCCGTACAAGTAACTGAATATTGCCGAGGTAATGTTAATGTTCCGCATGCGCATGTATAGAGTGCAGAAGGAACTATAAGGAATTATTCAGGTAAAACGATAAACAGCGACTATTTCGGACACGACAGATAGAAACGTTTCATTGTTTACTATCGCCTTACAATACTAAACGGCTAAATGGCAGAAAATAAAGAAAGAGCAGAAGGCTGACAGAAACACGAATGCTGGAAGAAAAAACATGAGACGAAGTAAAATAAATAAAGACTTGCAAATTATAAAAGAGAAAGCAAAATAAGAAGGAAGCTTCGATAATTTCCTGAGGATTGTGTTAACAGTATATGCCGCTACACCCGACTGCATCGGTAAAAGTTATTTTTGAATAAAGCTAAAACTGCACGCTACGTCCTGGCTTCCAGTACATTTAAATTAACGTAGACCGGAGTGCATTTCAGAATCGTGGCTACCAACAGTTGCTTCGTGACCAGCTTCTCTCTTCTTGATATGTTTTAATATTTGACGGACTGAAAGTATTAAAATGGGACCTGTTTCAGCTTAGTAATGCGTAGCACACGTGTGTGATTGACGGGTAAAGAAATAAGATGTTTTCTCCAGGTACATCGGTCGGTATTCAACCTTAGCTGAGGTGCGATATATGCGCATGAAAGCCATGTACATTGTATACACATATACCGATGTAATTATCTCAATACATAATTTACACGATTAAGGAAAAATCAAACAACTTTTTTACTTATTTTAACGCCTCCATGATATTTGGGCGAGACAAAGAAATGCTGATATCTCTTGGAACATTTGGTACGTAGTGGTAAATAGTGGTTAATCTTGGCACGTTTTGGAACATGTTGGTCTATCTTGGTACAATTTGGTTTATCGTGGTTCATCTTGGTACATCTTGGTACATGTTGGTCTAACTTGGTACATGTTGGTACATGTTGGTTTATCTTGGTACATCTTGGTACGTGTCGGTACACGTTGGTACATGTTGGTCTATCTTGGTACATGTTGGTCTATCTTGGTACATGTTAGTACATGTTGGTTTATCTTGGTACATCCTGATACCGGGGTACGTGTCGGTACATGTTGGTACATGTTGGTACATGTTGCTATATGCACCATAATATCCTCTGTACGATTTCACTAAAATTGCTCTTCTGACCTTATACTGGGTAATTACATGTGCTTTTTAGCTAATTGCCTTTAAATTGCTGTTTGAATAATATAGAAAGGACAATCAAATGAAGAGAAACTATCCCCAGGGGAATCATTATAGCATTGTTGAATTGTCCCCTCTTTAGGTCGTTTACTGAAGGGAAATTACTTCTATTAGATGTAATAGCCCCAGCCATAGGCCACTACAGGATTAATATCATCCACGTGTTCAGAAGTTGGAATCATCGACTATGGCTGCACCCTGTAGATTCGAGACATTTGTATTGGTAACAGCGACCTGAGGCTATGTCAGGAGATAATAGTGCTATGTCAGGAGATAATAGTGCTAAGTAAGACGAAGAGAGGCGCTGGAGGAGCTGACAGACTGAGGTATTGTTCCTTTCTTTGATTAACATAGTTTAGTGGGATTTCCACAAAATATGAATGGTAGGGCATTTTGGGGTAAAAGTTGGGAACCAGGCTTATTAGCATAATTTTGGCATGCTGAATCCGATTAACCCGGTTCCCAAGCGAAATTTTGCGTTTTTAACTGTCTAATTTGCAAAAAAAAAAAAATGGCAGCCAGATTTCCAATTTTCTGCAATATCTCTGTAACTAGACAGGCGAATATGAAGTGTCTTTACCTATATTTGCAGGGTCGATGAACATTATTAAGATATTTCTGTTAGAATTAGATTTACAAAATTTCCCTAAATATGCAAATTAGGACCGCCATTACTGAAAAAACGTTTTACTTCTGTATCTTCTTAATTAGGCAAGCAAATGTGACACATGAAGTGCCCACACCTGTGTTTTCAGGGTCACAGAAAGTGGTTAAGACATTTTCACTATAACCAAATCAGTAATTAGTGCTACACTGTCACACTGTAGCAATTATTTGAATCTGAATTGAATTTGGCAATTAAATACTGCGCTGCCATTGGGATGTAAACATATTGGATCACACAACTGCCCCTGTTGCCTAGATTTGAAAAAGGTGATTCCTTTATTAATGCAATGGAGGGATTTGCTGAATAAAGTAATTCATGTGATGCAATGTACAGACTTGACATTTAAAATGGATTTTTTTAAACATATTTTCTTTGATTTTCATTGTTTTATATTAGTAATGAATTAAAATAACACTTGTTATCATGTTCGATATAGCTTTAATAAATCAACCCGTGTCAATACACCAAAATTTTAATTTAAATACGTATTTAGATCAGCGTTATAAACAGCACATGGGTAATTTTATAGCTGATAACAACGAGGTATTAAATTCTTATGAACTCAATATTAATAAGAATATCAGTTGGTAAGGATTTTCTCTTACACAAAGAATCACCGAGACAAAATTTAAAAATGGAAACGGATAACAACGCGTGCATTCTCTGCTATCTGCAACTGCGGATCCCCCTCCCCCTCCCCTTCAAATAATCCTGGATCCGCCTCTGCTCACCTTGCCTTATAATTGATGGGCAAGCACTGGCAATGTCACTGTTAAAACCTGACAATGCAGTGACCTTTGGTAGTTTGACTGACACACACTTAAGAGCAGTTCTGAAGGCAGGTTCTAACTATCAGCAGTTTGACTTGTGTTTGACAGATACAGTGAAGAAACAAAAAAAAAAGTCAGCGCTACCCATCAGACAAGGCCTCTGATTCATCACATTCCCCGACCCTGAGAACATAGGTGTAAACACTTCATGTGTCACGTTTGCTTGCCTAGTTACAGAGATACAGAAGTAAAACGGTTTTTTTTTCAGTAATGGCGGTCCTAATTTGCATATTTAGGGAAATTCTGTAAATCTAATTCTTACAGAAATATCTTAATAATGTTCCTCGACCCTGAAAATATCGGTAAAAACACTTCATTTGTCATATTCGCCTATCTAGTTACAGAGATATTGCAGAAAATTGGAAACCTGGCGGCCATTTTGTTCTTGTTTTTTTTTTTAATTATACAGTTAAAAATTTCGCTTGGGAACCGGGTTAATCGGATTCAGCATGCCAAAATTATGCTTATAAGCCTGGTTCCCAACTTTTACCCCAAAATGCCTCTTGCTTCTTATGCAGAGCCTTTTTTCAAAAATCCCACTAGACTAACAGTAAAAGCATTAATTTCTACTGGGCGTGTGGTACAAAAACCTTGGCCAATTAAAACTGACACAGTGAATATTGAACCTTTTCAGCAAACAAGCCTTGATCTATTTCATAATACTGGTCGTGTTTGAGTGTGTGTGTGCGTGTGTGTGTGTGTGTGTGTGTGACCAGTGATAACCTGTGGTGGTTGTTCTGGCAGAATAGTACTGTGCAGCAGTTTGTATGGTCAATTAGGCAGCAGCAGCGCACACAGAGGCACATGTGGCGTTTTCTACCAGTCATGATATATCACACTGTGCAGGCCATTTCAAAGAGCTGAACATTTAAGGCTATTAAGTAAATCTCTAAAAGTAATGAGCCCATTTCTTCTAGACATCTCTGAACTGTTAATGCGTAGGATTCTAGCCTCATTGCTTTCACTGTAGTACAGAGCAATAGCAGACGTTTGGCAGTAAACTGGTTTATAGTAGTACCGTATATATATATATATATATATATATATATATATCCCTGTGAATGCAGTATCAGATTTTAATTCGATTTTAAAACCTGAATCCATAAACAATTTCATTCTCACGTTTTTAGTTTTTATCTTTTACTAGAAAACAGTACCCGATACTCATATTTTAAAGAATCTATTGGCTTAATGAATTCCTATCTAAAAAGAAAAACAAAGACCGAGGAAAGTCGGCCAAGGTGACGATCTTGCGCCAGGTAAGGACCCCTGCCAATAATTTTCTCAAAACAAATGATAATGTTATATACAACTGATACAATGGATCATCTTGCCTTAGCGTTCGAAGCGGTGTTTTCAGACTTGGGACTTCTGGATTTTTCCCAATGTTTAAGCACGAATAATATACACGTCTTTGGGTCAGGTTTAAGATGAAAGCTACCTTGGGACAGGTGTTACTACTTATTAACTACTGACTGGAGGTCGTGTTTTTAATAGTATGTTTAGCACATTTCTACAAATATTGTTAAATCAAATTATATAACCTAAATACCAAATAGCTCATGTATAACATGTACATGTACTTGTTACTGTCAAATGTGTTGCATGTGTTCACTTTCTCTCTGGATTTCCTAGGAAATTGAAATGGCAGACTTGATCATCTCATAGACGAGTTCCAAGAATCTCTGAAACTCAGGGTACTTGCTCCAACGGCTGTTTGCACAACATTCTCATCTCTATACAGCGCCCCCTGCTGGTTAAATTAGTCATATTCCATATTTTGATAGCTATTGGCAGCCCCTTTTACAGCCCAGGGGATATATTTCTTAAATTCGGTGCCATAATTAAACGTAAATGGTACTGTTAGATAGTTTTACCCTGTAGTTGTGGAAGATATACACACGGTATGTTATACAGAGGTCACAGATTTGACTCAGAGGCACTTAGCTTGGTACTCTTATGGAAATCCCCGGGGTATTATCAGTTTAAACTGCAGTATGCGTTTTGTAAAGGAGTGTGTAGAATACAGCATTACGTTAGTTGCTACTCGAGATATACGAGTATAAAATGCATGGACTGCTGGTATAGTTTCTTACTGACAAGCCCCTTCTGGTCTATATATGTATGTTACACGAATATTGCGCATGTTTTTTTGACTACGTGCCAGATGAGGGGATAATGGGCACCTGATAATGGGTTCTGTAGGCGATGGTTGGAAGAGGCAAAGTACGTATTGTAGTTTATTGTGTCATTGGCACTTGATTGATTCATTAAAACTATTACTTCTTACAGCCTGTTTTCTAGAAAATATGCTGTTTCGTATAGAATTTTAAAATTCATCATCGACATTTAGTTGAATGGATTTTACTATATTCCAAATGGCTATGTGTATTTCCATGAGAGTGTAATTGTCGCGGTGATTGACATACAGGTAGATAGTCTGCACCTGGCAGTCATTACATGTAGGAGAGTGTTAATATCACATTGCAGGTAATACGTAGACGGGAGACAACCGGAATTGTCGGTCTCACCTCTACTTGACTCTATATCAAACCGTTCGTCGTTATAATGATAAGGTGTTTACTGTAAGTTGTTGCTTGGAAACCGGAAGAAAGGAAACAGTACCTTGCATACTCTAGTGACTGTTGGTCTAAAGTCCCCTGCCCTGACAGTGACCCTGGTGGCAGCAAGACGGCACTGGAGAAAACTGTACATGTAAGTTCACGTTTATTGGTGACATTCACACAGTGTCTTTTATATTAGGCAAGCTTTGTGGTGCGGTTTTGAAGACCAGTTTGTTGATATAAAACCACTTAGGCTCTGCAACAACAACAACTGACTCTGTGACGGAGGAAGTCTTCAACCCGGAAGATATTTTTATCTCGAAAACTATATGTCATCAGTAAGATCGTGCGGCCAGACTATCCTTCATAAAATTATATTTATATGCAATGTTACATTATATATATTATTGATTGATGTGCTAATACTGAATTCGAACACTGGTAATTGTAACCATGTGTTTTCCTGGTGAATGTGTTACTTCATTAGAGATAGGGTGCATAATATCAATGGGTGTTAGAATCAGCAAGGGATGTTAAATTCAATCATTGTATTGCATAGCATAACACCTCAGATTATACACACCACATACTAGTGAGGTACAGCTGAAGACATGCTGGTAGAAACAGGTGCTACTTGTATGTGTTTTTCTCATTGGAAAAAAATGACCTTCCAATTATGTGTGTACAACACAGGGCTGCAATCTCTCAGTACATTACAAGCAAATCGACTAATTTTATTATCCAAAAAATTTGTTTTGTAAGCCCTGAAAAAGAATTTGGTGATAATTCTAAAAATTGCTTAATTTTTATGTCCAAAAATGCATTTTGGTGAGTAACCGAAACATTGAAATTTAGAAGCTAAAAGGAGACAAGGGATTGTTGAAGTATGGGACTGATGATGGCATCTAATCCGTACCCCAAGGTGTGGGTACATTCCCAGCCCCCGTCAACCCACCACCACCAGCTGGACGGTACCACGCTGTAGAGTAGACACGTGTGATAAACTGACACCTGTTGGCTAGTTGACAACATTAGATACAATTATCTTCACAGTTTGTAGGGACCCGTAGACCAGCATTGAGATACGCTATACATAGGTGAAGATGATATGAATAAAGCTAGGTTATACGTTACAACTTATGGTCACTATCTCTCTCTCTCTTCCTCTCTCTCAGCAAAAAATAAATAAATCAAAAACACACTCTCCGTTGTACTTAGGCAGTGCAATTGTTTTTGTTAATGAGATACGAACACCTCTCTTGTTGTTAAGTTGAGTTTTATATCTGTGTTCTGAAACAAATCTGACTGTATTAGTCCACTGATACTAATTATTGCAAGTAAACCCCGATGTCGCGCTCAGGATTGACGACGCTGAGGGTTAATGTCTGGTTTGTCTATCACATGTTCACTGAGGGTGAGGGGGTTAATGCACGCTCTGGGGGAACTCTGGTCTTATCTAAAATAACCAATGATTGAGAAATGTTTAAGAGACTTATGAGAAACGTAGTCTTTTGTCAATAGTTTTAGAATTAAAATTAAACTTCACCATACACGGTTCTTGTGTTTTTATTCAGAATTCATCTGACAAAATAATGTCTTCATTCCTATGAAATTATCTAGCTGATATATATTTCCAATACTCAAATAACTTGTTTTCTAACATTACGTTCATTTCACGGAAACGTATGTACGGGCACCTGCTCAAGCCTCAGCGTGTGATATTTGCACTCTCACCTTTTGGTTATCAGAAATCCAGTAATTTAGATAATAAGTCGCAGGCGGCGCAGTGGTGCTGAGGTAATGAGAAATCTCCGGCCAGCCACAGGGTATTGACGACGTGGCACTGGAGAAATGAGAAACCTAATTAAAACTCAGTATACCTATCATTCCTTCATATTAATATTGTGCCCTTTTCAGGGCCATTCACGTCTTGTTTCTTGACAGAGTGAATTAAGGCAGACGCCACTGGCACACGTAAACCATAAGTCAGTACAAACTCCATTTTGTCTACGGTAATCATGAATGCATTTTCAATAATACCATACGTGCCTTTGTCGGCCTAGTCTAGTTAAACTTGCAACAGAATTGTTAATAACCTGACTTCGAAGTTATAAAAACGCGTGGCCGCCATTATCAGCCGTCGGAGTAAAATGACAATCAAAACGGAGATATAGTGGGAAAAAATCACAGTTATGACAAATGGTTTCATCTATTTCTCGCCCACAATATACTGGTATTAATTATTTTCTGACAAGAAACATGTATATAAAAGTAACAGAACTTTTGATCCTGGAAATTACTAAGTGGAATACATGTAAAATAATCGGCGTTTTTTATTCTATATATATAATCTATAGACATACGTGTCATTAACAGATCTACGTCATGTAAACGACTCATTCACAGCCTACACTTACCCTGGTTACTTCTGTGACACGTTTTTAGTAGAATAATGTAAAGTAAGGGACAACAGTAATATGTTATATTTGACTTCTGTTCCTGGAGATTAATAAGATATTAATAAGCTAGGGAAATTAATGAGTTGTGTAAGCAATGTGACGTGATCAAAATGAACTCCTTAGGTTTCCTACTTGACCGTGCAGTGACACTCCCTACGCCTGGTGTGAGCTCGGAACACTATCATCTACAGAATGCTAAGACACACACCCTGTAGGTACAGCGAAAGTGACCCCAGCAGGCATGTGATGCTACAAAACAAGAGGCTCTCTCACTGGCACAGTAGCTTCCTGACCTTAGGGTAACACGTTTATAGTATGCATCACTTGATGATAAAGAACGGTCAGATCCGGTTACATTAACACGGTGATGCAAATGATCTGACGTAATCCCCTCCCCCCCCCCCTCCCCCCACCCCCCGAGTACCAACACTGAACAACCTGTATCCCCACACAGATAATTCCATAGACCTTTAGTGGTTAACCGGTGTTCATGGCAAATGATTCCAAGTACTAAATTAGCATTACAGCTAGTGCATAAGCGGTAACACTTCAGACAAAAAATCTAGGAATATTTCATGAATCGTTACAAACACCTGCAGAAACAGCCGGATGATAGTTCAAAGATCAGTTTTGTTGAGTCAACAAGAAAAAAAGCAACCTATATGCAGCGTGATACTGGTACTGAGTCAAGCGTGGTAAGCAATTCACATTATAAAGCTTAGATCGACTTGTGTGGTGTAAAGTTATACCTTGGAGTACGCAAATAGTCAACTAATTTCATTTTCTTCCGGTTACAGATTAAATGTGTTCGGCTATCCAGAAGAGCCACTGACTAAGAGAGTGCTAAAACTCTAAAATGGGGCCAAGGCGGCTTTGAAACTGTGTGCTTCATCTCCGCTGTCACATGTGTGTGATTCCTGTATCAAATATTTTGTCGCCGAACTGGAAACGACCTTTCCCTTGGGAAACCTCAGCTAATGGCGGTAAAACCAGCCAACGTCTTTAAAACGTTGTAAGCTTCAAGTATAGTGAGTGGACCAGGTTACCTCAGAACTCTGACCGCATCTGGCAGATATGGGCTACAATGGGTACACACGGGCTGTCCACCGGGCACGTGAGGGACGCAGTCCACTGTCCTTGGAATATCTGGAGACTGACCAATGGTCGCACATGGTAGGCAATCCACTACCAACACTGTCTGTGTGTATACTTTAAAATATTCCTTTGGGCACCAGCTAGTATCATACTGTATTATTTGAGGAGGGTTTCATATCTTCTTATTCGATTTCGTAATGTTGTTGCAAAACATTGGCTTGCTTTTGAAAATATCGGTTGAAGGATATTGAGACATTTATTCCTTTCAATCATTTCAAGATAGAAGTGACAGGTTTAAAGTTGCATAGGCCATTACGTTGTTGAATGCTCGGGAAAACAGCTTTTCTGTCGAGAAACACGGGTAACGTATTTATCTAAGCTATTGAAGAAAGACACGGTACAGTTATCTTTCAAAGTAACAACCGCTGCCTCGATATTTCTGTCAGATTTCATTGAGAGTCGGCGTAAAGAAACTCCAGGTTTTAAATATACTGTAAAACGTAAAAAGCGATTCACTTTCTAAGCGAAGCGCTGTTAGTGAATTCACTCGTATCTTCGGAACTGTCTTTACCAGAAGTGTGGAACATGTCGGATTTCGAATGTTACAACATGAATGCCAATGTGACAACTACCTGTGACCATGGCAACCTCACATTCACCTTGGATACCAGTCTGTTTAACTCCGTACTTCCGGTGGTGTTATGCCTGGTGTCTGTTATTGGTATCATAGGCAATGTGCTGGTTATTATCGTGGTGAAAAGGAACATGTACATCAACTGTTTGTTCCTGAACCTGGCCGTGGCCGATCTCCTGTTTATCCTGATATGTGTCCCTATTCAAGTGTCCATCTACGCCAGTGAAGGGACAATTCAGTTTGGAGATTCTGTGTGTAAAGTTTCCTTCTACTTCAGTTACGTAACTATGGGAGTCAGTATTTATTCCCTGGTGTCTATATGTGTTCTGCGGTACATAGGAATTACTCGGCCTCTCCAGTGCAGAGGTGTGCTGAGCCGCCGTAGTGCCATCTGGACCAGCGGCGCCATATGGGCTGTCATATGCAGTATTAACATCCCTATCATCATATTTCATCGTGGAACTGAGGGTGGCGGGTGTAACCTGTGTGTGAACGGCCAGACGGAGTATTACGTGTACATTGGGTTGGTGTCTGGGTGTGATTTCTTCCTGCCAGCTACCGTATTACCAGTCATCTCGGTTTTAATCATCAGAGAAGTCCGGAGAGACATGACAGAGATGGAGAGGACGCAACTGGAGTCAGCGCCCTATGTGAGGGCGGCCAAATCCTCCAGTACTCGGCTCATCGTCCTGATAGCCCTAGTGGCCTTCTTCTTTGTACTCTGCTGGGGGCCAGCACACCTAATGCTGCTACTGGAGGCCAGTGGTGTCGTCATCGCCGACTGTCCATCTCCCGCTGTTAAAACTGTTATGTTCGTGGCTTTGTTACTGCTCCACACCAATTCCAGCATTAATCCCCTACTGTACAACTTTGTCTCTGCCGAGTTTAGGAAATCTTTTCTTGCTGTTTTGAAATCACACTGTAGCTCTGAAAGAAAAAGACGCAGGGAGTCGATTAATATTG